ATCATTCCCAAATACACAACATTTCTCTACCTCTCCTGCCTTTCGATGGCGGTCGCAGATCTCCCTCAGGGGATCCCCTCTCGGACAGGAAGAAGTCGATTCTCAGAAAGCACCGGGGAAGGGTGGGACAGAGAGAGGATGCAGAGGGAGCCTGGGAGGGGATCATTGCTCATGTAACCACACTGAGGGAAAGGTCGCACAATTACTTCCTCTCGTGTCTCTTCCTGGCGTCAGCTCACGTGGTTACTTTTCTATCTACTCTGTTTCATTCATCTGCATTTGTAAAGGGATGATCTTCCTACTGTCTTCAGGCAAAGCGACCGAACAGGATTTTCCCGCTTGTTACATTAACTCCCTTTTAACTCTTACTCACCCTCATTAACTCCCTTCTTTCCCGTCACCTCTTAACTGCGGAGCCTTTTTTAGTTTGTTTGTTTCAATTTTTATAATCAGGTTTAACTTTTTATTTCTTTTATTAGTATTTAAAAAAAAGGGCAACATTGAATAAAAGCCTTTATCAAGTCAAAAAAATGTTTCCCTCCCACAATGTTAGTGTCAGGACTTCCCTTAAAAGGAGAACTATGGGGTTATGTTTTTTCCCCATAGTTCTCCTTAGGGTAACGGGAGGACACAAACTAGCGTCCTCCCATCACCCTAGGCTCACCTCGCGTCCCGGCCAAAAATCCGAACTGCGCATGCTTTGCGGCCGCCCGAGAATTTTCAGATTTTTTTGCATATATCTATTGCTTGCTAGCCTTCTATATACACTGAGTGGCCAGATTATTATGGCCACCCCATCAGTACTTAAATCCGGCCACTCAGTGTGTATATGCAAAAACACCGGAGGGTTTAATAACCCTTTAATTTGTAAATATCTCTGCAATGCTTTGTAGCAGAATCATAATTCTAGAATTATTCATTAAAAACAGGATATTAAAAGGAGAACTATGAGGGGGGGGGTGCTTTTCACTCACCTCATAGTTCTAGCCGACCTGTGACAATGGGACTGTCACAGGTCGGCTCAGCATTTCTACTTTTTATCTACAGTATCAAATATTAGACATGTGCATGCGGACAAACCTGCAAATCCACGAAATTCAGCTGATTCAGCGGTTCGTCTGAATCCAAAATAACGAACGTATTATATGCCCAAATATATGAAAACTATACTCGGCCATACATAAATTTGTTTTCAGAACATGGGTGGCCATATGTTCTGCGCATGCCTGTCGCCATCTTGGAGGAGGGTCACATGACTGTGACATCTGCGCTGAATGAGCACATCGTCATCTTGGGAGTAGATCTTGGTGTGTACCAAGATACACTCCAAGATCGCGGGACACGTGCGCAGAACGCGCCGGTGACCGATATGGCCGCCGCTCATTCGTTTCAGTGTGCGGTTTCGCATTCGGAGGCTCGTTGCCTCCGAATCTGAAACAACATAAAAATGTGTTTCCTTTGACGAAACGAATGAAAATGTTTTTTGTTTTCATTTGTTTCGTCTGAAACTATATTTTTTTGCCGTGCACATGTGTGATCAATATTGGTTTTTCAAATATCACGGATCAAATCGAAAAAAAAAAAAAGTTGTTTTTAGTTATTTTTTTGGTGTATAACAAAAAAAGACAAAATGACAGATAATTTCAGCGAAAATAAGGGCACCCCTGCACGGCACCTTGTCCCCATGTTGATGAGGACAAGGCTTTCATCCTGACACTGCTGGGCCGGTGGATCTGCAGGGGAGGACTAAAGGTGGCCATACACTTTACAACCATCGCAAGACCTTAAGTCTTGCGATGGTTGTAAAGTACTTAAAAAAACGTACGATCTGCCCATCTTGGACAGGCAGATCGTACTCTCGATGACCGCAATGCTGAACGGGCAGTGTGCGCGTGCGCACACCGGCCCGTTCGGCATTTGTCTCCCGAGCACCGTTCTAACCAGCCGAAAATCGTACGATTTTCGGCTGGTTTTCTAGCGCGCTCCTTAGACAAAAGACGTGCGACCGTACAGTAGAAACGGTCGCACGTCTTCGTTCACACTGCTCGATTCTCGTACGATCGCGGGATTTCCCGCGATTCTCATACGAGAAATCGAGCAGTGTATGGGCACCTTTACTGGAATTTGGAAGCCCCATTTAGAAATTGAGCCCCCCCCCAGTACAGGGGCCTTGTAACTCATTCACTGAAAAAAAATGAAATAGTAAATAACAACACAGACATATACTACAGAAAAAGTATTACATTAAGCAACCTTATAGGGCCCCCCTCCTGCCCCAGGCCCCCATAGCAGGTGCATAGACCGCTATGGCTATTGTTACCCCACTGGTGCCATTTCACATTTATTCATCCATTGATGAGCATCATGGGGGCTTTTCATAGGAATGGCAATGCATGGCAGCACACTTGCCCAGAGCAATCATAAAATGCAAACAAATGGAAACACAAAAGGTATGAAGCCAGCTGAAGAGATGTATGTGCTAGAGGGTGTCCTTGTTCCTGTCCCAGAAAAGTGTGATGTGATGAGAATATCCCCTTTCTTTACCTGTCAGAGGCTTTGTACAAACAGGAGTAACTGATATGTGGTCAGAGTGGCCTTGTGTACACATCCTGGGGACCTCGTGAGCCAGCGGAAGAGCCAGAAATGAAGCTTTTTGACATGTAAAGGTCAGCAAAACCTCTATAAGCCTGATTGATGAAGGAGAGCCAAGGAGCTGTACCTGACTATAGTGCAGATCAGGATTGGCCAGCTCCCCCTCTCCCACCTGTGTGTATAATGAGCTCCCTTCTCATATGAATTACCTGCCATGATCAGGAACAGGGGTGAGCAACTCAGCTGTTGTGGAACTACAAGTACCAATAGGCATTGCAAGGCCATTACAGGCATGACTGGCAGAGGAATTTGTAGTTAAAGCACAGCTGGGGGGGCCGGAGTTGCCCACCCCTGATCTGGAAGGTCTGCCAGGTCTAGTATTTGTTCCTTCTTCAAATGCTAGTTACCTGGCCGTCGTTCTAACCCTAAAACTTTGAGTTGCTGACCCATCACAAGTGGCCTCAATAATCAGTGATTGGAGACTATATCTATGGGCAGGTGAGATTTGATGCTGTCAGTTTGTGTGCTAGTTTATTTTAATGTCCAATTACCCTTTTTGTGCGTTGTATATATTTCTGTTGATAATATTGTAGCAAAGTATTCATATTTGGTTTTATGTGAATCATTTATTGTCTAGTAAGCACACGCGGAATGACCATTGATAAACCTGAGCTTCTCTAACATAGCCAATCAAATCAAGCGAGTGTGCAAATCTAGCTCCTTGCATGTTTCTGGCTCTGCTTCTGTCCACAGAGAGCAGCGCTGATATTCTCAGTGCTAATGCCATTTTTCATCTCTTATGTTTCATAGAGTTGTCTGCTCTCAGATATCTACATTGGTATACTGCAGATAGCAGCCCTGCATTCCTTTAGCTGTGTGGGTATGCCTAACTTACAATCAGCTTAGAGATGACAAACAAATGCTTATCTAGGGATGCCAGAGAAGCCTTCTTTTATGTATGATGGTTCTGTCTTATAGTGCTTCACCTCTGAATTCTAACCTGATCTTTTCCCTGATTCCTCTGACCGCACACAATGGTGAATATGCAATAAAGGATTGTTTTCTTAATGGTCTAATTATAAACCATGTGCAGGGCCATTCACCCTGTGCATATTCGCTTTGTGCAAAGACCTCATTCACACGAGAAAAAGCCGGCACGTACAGCTCGGTGCTGCGTGCACGGCTGTATCGGGCAGCTCCCGGGAAGGACAGGTGCTGCGCGTGGTTAGTACACAGCCCCTGTCCTTCTCTATGGGAGTATGTGGCCGTATGCCGCCCTACGCTCACCCGCCCTGCATGTCGGTGTGGGTGTCCGTACTCGTACGCTGACAGGATGGATCCTGTCTGCATCTGAGCCGGAACACCCGCACACGTATGGACCTGCACTTGGGGTGAGTGTAGGGGGGCGTAGTCCCATAGAGAAGGACAGGGGCTGCGTACTTATCACACGCAGCACCTGCCTTCCCGGGAGCTGCCCGATACAACCGTGCACGCAGCACTGAGCTGTACATGCCGGCCGTTTCCCGTGTGAATGAGGCCAAATAGAAGCAAAAACGAATGTTCTTTTTCTTTTACAAGTCGAATGTAATTTTGAATGGTATAGTGTAATAATGAATTATGGCCACTAGATGGAGCTGACGAGCATAGGAAACAAGTATTTATTTCCTGTGCTCCTCAGCTCCATCTAGTGGCCATATTGTGGTATTACATAATGCATTTGACTTGTAAAGAAAAACATTATTTTTTTTAAATCTATGCACACAAACATTTTACAGAAATTTGCAGAGCGAATGGCTCCGGAACGTTTTAAATAAACCCCTTATCGTTTTCAATAAAGGAAAGGGAACAATCTGTAGTATAGAAATGGCATCGGTCTGCCCAATCACCGAACAAGATACTCCGATATTTGCATTGCTTGCTATAAAAGGGTCACATATACCACAATGAAGCTTTGTAATGTCTCCCCATCTAGTCCTATTTGCTGGTATATACAATGAATACAATTCCTGTACACAACATGTTCTGCAGTCTTCTGATATGTAATATTGGTGATACTTTGCTGCCATCTGCTGGTGTAATATTTTATAGGAGAGCTACAGATGTAAAAGTATAATGCGCCAAAGCCGGTCACATCTGTGTGTCAGAGTCCAACTGGCAACTTTCATTGTTACAATCTATGGCACTGGATTCAGGAAAAAAAAATGCTGGTGTGTGCAAAAGCAAGGGTTATCTGCTCCTTTTGTCTAAGGGGGGGGGGGGG